CAGTACTCACGTGATACCCTTGTTCTGGGCGATCGGGGTCCAGGACAGCGCCGACAGCGTGTAGATGACCTGCGACGGAGGCCAGAGCTGCTCAGCAAGCCCCTGCCCCAGGCCCTCCCCAGAGCACAGCCTCGGACCACAGGACTGAAAGCACCAGAGCCAGACTGGAGTTAGGCCTTGTGCTTCTTGGGAACCCCAGTTCGGGTTTTTCTCTCCATTTGCATCCCTTAATTGAGCCTCACCAAGATCCCATTATCCTAGTCAATCCTCACAGCCACCCAGCAAGGCCAGGATGATGTTACTTGCATGGAGGAACCAGAGAGGCACAGCCATGTACCTGAGGTCACACAGCAAGCCCCGGAGCAGGAACTGAATCCAGCCTGGTTCCACAAGTCTCCAGCCAGTGCTGTCAGCACCTCGTGAGTGGCCCGGTTCCCCTCATCTGCTGGCCCCCGGACGGCCCATTCCCCCAGCAGATGTGGATGGAAATGAATTGACACCCAGTCTTTGTGCTTTAGGGGCCCCTCTTACCTTCCCAAAATCCTGCACATCGAAGAGGTCAAAAGCCTCGAAGAGCTCACTGCGCTTGAGGCCGAACTTCTCACAGCAAGTGGACAGGAAGGTTCGGATGTTCTTAAGGCACAAAAACTGTGGAGGGAGAGGGAATTGGGAGTGGAGGACAAAGGATGGAGAAGAAGCCCACGGCAAGGCAGCATGGCTTGAGGCCTGATGCGGGGTGGGGGGATGAGAGCTTGAGTTTCCCTGCCACAAAACCGTGCTCCTTTCTGAGAAAGAGCAAGCCATACCTGAAGGCAGATCTAACCCTTAAAATTTGTTCTGTGGTACTGAGGATGGAACCCAGGGCCTCGAACATGCTAGAGAAGTGCTCTCTCTGCCACGGAGCTGTGTCCCACATCCTGGCTCAGTTTTTTTTTTTGTTTTGTTTTTTGTTTTTTGTTTTGACTGCAATGAAATTTACAAAACCTAAAATTAATCACAAGCAAATAAACAAATGTGGTATATCCACACAATGGAAGATTATTCAGTCATCAAAAGGAATGAAGTGTGGATACACCACACCATGTGGACGAACCTTAGGGACAGTCTGCTAAGTATAACAAGCCCCATATAAAAGGGTCACATGCTGCATGATTCCGTGTGTATGAAACAGCCCTGAGTTTTTCTATTTCACTCACCAACACATTCCTTTTCTTATTCGAGCTAGTTCAAGTCAGGTTACTGTGACTCACAACCAAAAGACTTTCGCTAATACAGCAGTCAGGCACAGATACTGTGCTCACTTTGGGGTTCCTGGCTCTGATTTTTTAAAAGTTTTCCTTTCCTTGCACTTGCCCAATATCGGCTCATCCGGTACGCTAATGGGTCAGCTCTCTGAGTTCCCTGGGTTCCAGAGAATTGTAAACAACTTCTCATCCACCAGCGTCCCTTGGTCTTTCCAGCCTGAGGCAGGACAGAGCCCTGTGTGTTGGAGGGACCAACAAAGAGGTTCTTGTGGCTGCAGCAGAGGGAGCGGGCAGGCCAGAAGGAAAGAGGGAGGGGAGGAAGTGGACCAGATGCTTGTTATGGAAAAAAAATAAAATAAAATGAATATATTTCCATCGCTATGGTTTAGTTTTGAATGTTGCCCCAAAGCCTGTATGTCAAAGCTTGGTTACCAGCCTGCCGGCTTACTGGAGGTGGGGAACCTTCAGGAGTTGGGATGGACTGCAACCTTAGAAAACATGAGCCAGGGGGCCGGGGATTTAGCTCAGTTGTTCTGCCACCTGACTAGAAAGCACAAGGATCTGAATTCGATCCCCGGTACAAAAAAAAAAAAAAAATCCATGAGGCAAAATAAACCTTTCCTCCTTGTAAGTTGATCCACTCTGCTATTTTGTTACAGCGATGGAAAGCCAGCTCACACACTGCTTAGGGGACTTTGCTTTGGTGACCCAAGGAAACAAGTCCATCCCAATGTCTACAAGACTATTCCCTCCCTTCTTCATGTCTTTGTTCAAAGGGTCTCCTTGCCCGGGAGACCTCCTCTGACTGCTACATTTGTTTTCTTTTATGATATTTGACTTTTTGTTACTGAAGGTTGAACCCAAGGTCTTTGCATGGAACTATATCCTCAGCTTATTTTATTTATTTATTTTTTTTTGTTGTTGTTGTTGTTTCTTTGAGACAGGGTCTCACTATGTAGTTGAGACTGACCTGGGACTCACTATGTAGCCCAGGCTGGTCTCGAACTCACAGCGATCCTCCTGCCTCAGCCTCCCGAGTGCTGGGATGACAGGCGTGCGCCACCACGCCCGGCTATTGTATTTTATTTTGTGACAGGGTCTTGCTAAGTCACCAAGTTGCCCAGGCTGGGCTTGAACCTGTGCTCCTCCTGCCTCGGCCTCCCGGAGTGCTGCGATGAGAGGCGTGAACCACCAGGCCCGGGTTTACCAGTGATCTTTGAGGTCATTATTCTAATTGTTTTGGAAGCCACTAACCCTAACCCTAACCCCAGGCTGTTCCATCCTCAGTACCACCAAAGGTTCAGACTGTTCCACTGACCACTGGTTCTCCTGTCCCTCCCCCGATTTTATTTACTGGATGAAGCACGAACAGATTTTTTGAGAACATGAATTCCAACGTGGAAAGAAGTTGCACTGTGGGTAAAGAGCTTTCACCCAGCGTCACGTGCTCCCCACAGCTCTCTCGGGAAAGGCACAGTCAAGCGAGGCGGGAAACTTCTTTGTGGTTTTATTTTGAGAAACCGCCACAGCCACCTTGACCTTCAGCAACATCACCCTCGACAAAAAAAAAAAAAAAATGCAAATCCCTCCACCAGAAAATACAGTGTGCTCACTGAAGGCTCCGATGGTTGCTGATGTCTTTCAGCAACCAAGTATTTTCCAATTAAGAGATGTACACTGCTGTGTCAGACACAGTGCTATCGAGCCCTCAGTAGGCGGCAGTACTGCACGAACGTAATTTTTATAATACTGGGAAACAAAAATCTCATGTGACTGGCTTTATCGCAATATTCGCTTTGTACTGCAGTCATGTGGAACACATCTGCAATACCTCTCCTCTGAGATCTTTGCCCTTGCTAACCTCAAGCCCACAAGTCTGCTGTCATAATATTTGCATTTTGTGGATACCCTGTGACACCTCAGTCAGTACTTGGGTTTAGTGCAGTCTCACGACCACACCTAGTTTGTTATTGTTTTTGTTTGTTGTTGTTATTGTCGTTGCTGGTATTTGCAGTACCGGGAATTAAACCTAGGGTCTTCACCCTGGGCTACATCCCCAGACTTTTTTTTTTTTTTAATTTTGAGAAGATCTCACTAAATCATAAAGTTGCCCAAGCTGGGCTTGAACTTGTGGTCTTCCTGCCTCAGCCTCCCAGAAGGCTGAGATTTCAGGTGTGCACCACCACACCCAGGTCTCCCGCATACTTTAAAATCATCTCTAGACGACTTATAATACACACTAGAATGTCATTGCTATGTAAAGAGCTTTTATACCTTATTTTTCAGGGAGTAATGGCAAGGGAAAAGTCAATTTAGTACAGATGCAATTCTGTTTTAATATTTTTGATCCACACTCGGTTGAATCTGCAGGTGAAAACACACAGAAGTGAATGCTTCTCCTACCTCCATCTTTAGATCACACCTTCTTGATTATTGTCGCATCCGATTTCTCAGTGACCTTGTCTTTGCTGGGACAAAATACCTGGCACGTGAGTGTCAAAGTAGGAAACATTGATTTCGGCTCACAGCCTGCAGAGGTTTCAGTCTACGGTTAGCTGGCTCCAAGGCTGGGCAGTGCGGCAGAGGAGGAACCGCTGCATTTGCTGAACCATCCCTGCATCCCTGGGATGAATCCCACTTGGTCAGGGTGACTGATCTCAATGACCTGCATTCTCCTTGCCAGTCTCTTTTTAAAGAGTTTGGCATCTATGTTCATGAGTGAGATTGGCCTGTCGTCCTCTTTTTCAGGTGGCTCTTTCTCTGCTTTGGGGGCCAAGGTGATGATTACTTCCAGGAGGGAACTGGGGAGTGTTGCTTGCCTTTTGATTTCATCGAAGAGTTTAAACTGCATTGGCAACGGTTCCTCTCTAAATGCCTTGTAGAATTCCGCAGTGAAGTCATCAGGACTAGGGCTTTTCTTCGTTGGTAAGTTTTGAATTCCATTTTCGATTTCATTGATTGATATTGGATATTTTAGAATTTTTAGGTCAGCTTCGCTCAACTTTGGTAATCTGCACATAACTAGGAATCTGTCCATTTCTTCTGTGTTTTCCATCTTATTGGCGTACAGGTTCTCAAAGTAGGTATTGAGGATCCTCTGGATTTCTGCTGGGTCCATTGTAATTTCACCCTTTTCTTTCCTAATTGCATGGATTAGGGGCTTTTCTTTCCTTTTTTGATAAGGTTGGCTAAGGTCAATCTTAACTGTCAATTTTGTTTATTCTTTCAAAGAACCAACTCTTTACTTCACTGATCTTTTGTATTGCTCTTTTAGTCCCCATTGCATTGATTTCTGCTCTGATCTTTATAATTTACTCCCTTGAATGAGCTTTGGCTTGTCCTGCTCCTCTTTTTCTAAAAGTGTGAGGTTCAGCATCAGGTTGTTTATTTGAGCTCACTCTGTTTTCCTAATAGGAATATTCACTGCCATGAATTTCCCTCATAAGACTGCTTTCGTTGTGTCCCATAGATTCTGATATTTTGTATTTTCATTGTCATTTAATTGTGGGAACGGTCTGATTTCTTCTTTAATTTCCTCTGTGACCACTGCTTATTCAGAAGTGCGTGGTTCAATTTCCATGTGTCTATGAAATGTTTGCAGTTTATTTTGCTATTGATCTCCAATGTCATTGCACTGTGGTCTGATAATATACAGGGAATCACTTCAGTTCCTTTGCACTTACTTGGACATGTTTATGAGGGAGTAAGTGGTCTATTTTGGAGAATGACCCATGTGCAGCTGAGAAGAATGTGTATTCTGCTTTTGTGGGGTGGAACACTCTGTAAACATCTGTTAAGTTCATTTGTTCCAGAGTTTGATTGCATCCTAGTATTTCATTGTTTATTTTTTGTCTGATTGATCTATTTGTGACAGTGGGGTATTGAGGTCCCCTGCTATTATTGTATTAATGCTTATTTGATTTTTTGTTTTGCTTTGTTTTTTGAAACAGGGTCTCACTATGTAGTTGAGACTGACCTGGAACTCACTATGTAGCCCAGGCTGGTCTTGAACTCACAGTGATCCTCCTGCCTCAGCCTCCTGAGTGCTGGGATTATAGGCTTGTGCCACCATGCCTGGCAATGCTTAGCTGGTCTTGCTCACAGTGATCCTCCTGCCTCAGCCTCCTGAGTGCTGGGATTATAGGCTTGTGCCACCATGCCTGGCAATGCTTATTTGATTTTTCATGTCCATTAGTATTTGTTTTATATAGTTGGGTGCTCTAGTGTTTGGTGCATATATATTTATGATTGTCATCTCTTCCTCTTGGATCGTTCCCTTTACAAGGGTGTAGTGTCCTTCTTTGGTTTGAAATCTATCTGATCTGCAAATAGGACAAGTACTGCTTTTTTCAGATTCCTGTTGCATGGAGCATTGTTTTCCACCCTTTAACTTTCAGTCTATGA